CAAACGACACAAGTGCGTGTTTGTTTATATATTTATGTACGAGTATATAAATATGTATGTGGTTGGAGGGGTAGATATAGAAAACATATCTTCAACTTTTTCATCTCAGACTGCTGATGAGTTGGCGCGTTTATAATAAAAGTAAAATGTTTTATTTATGAGCTATTCGATTCGTAAAAATTATCGTGAGGACAGACGTCAAAAATGCCAGACACCTAAGTGCCAACACAAAAACAGATATTTTTCATGAATACTGCAACATTTACACATAAAACAAATGTGGCGCAATAACTATTTGTAGAAAAGACTAATCCAATAAAATGGCACAGTAGGAAAGGTCGAACAACAAATTATACAACATATTTCATAGATGTGCCATTAATTCTGAGAAATTGACGTGAAATAAAATGCGAAAATATTTATAATGCACGAGTAGTAAGGAATTGTAAGCAGCTACTACTTCTACTTATATATATGTATAACAATAACTTCTTTAGAAATCCAATTTTAATTCAATGATGCCTATTCCATTCTTTTTCTAATATCTGATATGTAACAAATTAATGGTAATGGTTCAACATTTTCAAAAGCTATGATGGTTGATAGGAAAATTAGTTTTATTGAGCTGCAGGAAAATCAATTCTAAATCGATTTTTTCTAACATCGATTGGTTTCTAAGAATCTATTAATCAATATTACTTGAAGGTGACGCGGATAATGTCTCATCGAAAAGGACACTACAAATTAATTTTTTTCAGTTAACGATTAATCTATTTTGTTTTGGAGAAATTCGCAAAAGATTAAAAAAGACCGATGCGGTCAACATCTCTTATTTTGTGATTATTATTATGTTGAAATAAACTATAAAATGCTTGGACTTTTTATTCCAGCTTAGCGCTTATTATTCTAGTATATAGCGATATTCACCATCTGAATTAAAAAAAACTGCTTAAATCATTGTTTTATTCGTGTAGTTTTTGCTTTTATTTTATGTTTTTGTGTATTCGATAAAGACTGGCAACGGAATAGTTGAAATAAAATATTGCAAAATCTTCTAAGCTGTGCTGAAAATATTTGTAATGCATTGATATAGAACTCTTTATTTCACAAACAAAGACCTCAATATAGTTATTTTCAAATGCTATTTTCAAAAGATATAGTATGTTTGCAATTACTAATGCTCGTTTATCTTTTCACCCATAACTAAAACATTCCCTAAAAATATAACTAAAAAGTAAATATTTTGATGCGTCAGCTACACAGCTGCATAACTATACACAGACATCAAAAAACAATATAAAACAGGAGCAGCGTATATTAAAAAGAAACTTTTTCCAGCTATTTTTGGATGAAACTATTTGAAATAATCAAAATAAAGCAAGAGAGCTGCAAAAACATAAATAGAAAATGTAAATACACAGCTAAATACACACAAAACGATAAAAGAGGAAACAACAGCAGCCTGAATAAAAACAAGGCAACTGCATATTTGGTTTGTGTTTCGGAAATGAAACCAAATAAAATAGGCATTAAATTGAAAGGTAGCTTGTCAATTACAAAATGAATATCGTGCGAACAACACGCTAGGCGGTGAACTCAACAAATTGGGTTGGGAGGTGTGTGTTTCATACAAGTATGTTTTATTTTTGTGCTGCGAATGTTTGGAATTCGTCAAGTTATTCATCACAGAATTATATAATGCCTGCTCGCATCATTTTTTTATTGTACTTTTTATTTATTTTCGAAATAGAAATAATAAAGCAAATCTTGTTGTTGACCGGAAGTGCGAGTATGTTTACGATTCGTTCAAGCGTAACAATTTAGTGTGTTTTGATTCTACTTTGTTGACCATGCTCTATCTATCCCAATATTTCCCACTCGCTCTTTTCTTTGACACTGATGGGCGTGCCTTTGTGACATGCCGCGTATACGTAATACTAATGTACTACATCGTAAACAATATAAGGGTCAATGTGCTCGTTGATTTTCGATCCGATTGTGTGAACTTGACACTTAACAATGAGAATAATTCACGAAAACAAAAGCATCATTACAAACAAATTAAATGTTTCACCTGATTTCAGAGTAACAGTGTTTGAAATAAATTTACATGTTACATCATTTTATCATAGTTTAAAAGTAAAATTGAGTATTCAATAGCAAAAGTATGCACAACTATTTAATTAGTTGAAAACGATTAAAATAATTTATTTTTCTGCAGCACTCAAACGAAGGCAACAAACAATGTGTTTTTAAATCTTAAATATATTATAGTAATATCAAGATTGATATTTTGTTGAAACCATTAGCGAAGCATCTTGGGTTTATACGGATACTAGGATAAATTTTTATATTTAATTATTATATTCATATTGTTTCATGAGAACAGTCTTGTGCATTGTCGTGTGTCTTGTTTCTTTAATTCGCTTCCACACTAATTTCTCAGTCTCGCAGCAATACCGAAAGTAGAATTTGTAGCTTGATTTGTTTTGGTAACAACTATACTTTAATTTGTCTGTATTGTATGCGGCACTTACGAAACATTAAAATGATGCATTAATATTTAATAAGTACTAGTAATTGCTTGTCGGACTATTGATAAATGAGTAAACGCGTATAAATTTGCACGATTTTTTTGTTAATAGTCTATAAATGGATTTTTCTTGCTTTTGGTATGAAAATAAATATGTAGCTCAATGCCAATGACAGTGTTTTCCGGTAGGCGGAAATGTGTGCCATTTTGTTGTTCTCCAATAACGTACCACCTCTCCGCTCTGTTTAAAGTTTTCAACCTCCACCACACATAATTGTATTATTTCCGCATTATTCGCAGCCAGTCAAAATATGAGCAATGGCGAGCACACGCCCATGGCTAATGCAACGAATTTTCAATATTTGTGTGTAAATGCGATTACGCTCATATATAAATATACATACATATATTGCTGAAATGATGACCTGCTCGTTGATTTTAATATGAAGCAGATATTTATAACACGCATATTTATTAAAATCCGATTTGTTGTTTTTTCTGCCCCTGCTGCCATTTCCGTTGTTTCATTAAAAATTCATAAGCGTCAAAGCAATGGGCGCATTTTTAATGATATTGATTGAATTTATATGTTGATTTTAAGCGTAATTATTTTTTAATTATGCAATGGAGCAGAGGTGCATCGGACAACAGTTGAGTGCAGGCATTTTGCTAAGAGCTGGCGAGGCTTAATTGCAAGCAATGGCAACAACAAGAAGAGTAAGCCGTCTTAGCATTTGAGTGCAAAATATAGAAAAGGGGAAGGAAACCAACATTGAGGTAGAGAGAGAGATAGATAGATATATACAGAGAGAGAGAGAGAGAGAGAGAGAGAACTGTGACCCAGTTCACCTCAAGCATGCAGCGCTTAACCTGACAAGCACTTCTCGCTCAGCTGACTTGCTGCCGCCCCCCGCCTCATTGAGGTTAATGCATTGAAGAGCTCGCTGGCTCGCAGCCTAATAAGCTGCATTGCATGAAATGGCGCTCTCATCGTAGCGTCATAATCAAAACCAACTCATCAGCTCACGGCTCATTAACACCCATCCCACATAGCAGAGCTGCAGACACGGAGGGCAAAGGGGCTGGCAGGCGGCAGTTGAGCAACTTGATTGAACGTCAATGCTTGGCATAAAGCTGTTGTGGCCACATCGAGATTAATGCTAATGTGACAACTTAATCGAAAGCAATTTATAAGTCAAGTCGAGTGGTCTGCTGCAGCCCCGGATCCACCCAGCCTCGAAGCACTTGTCAACATCATGTCTCCATGCCTACATGTAGGCTATCAGCGAACACTGGGACTGAACGTTTTTATTTTTTGATTTCTATGTACAGTTCCACAGATTGTTTGTATACTATTACCAAAATTCTACAGAAAAATTGAAAGAAGATAGATATGAAGTCATGACAGCAAAAATTCAGCAAAATAAATACGATTAGCTTTAATAACGAAATTATTAATTATTAACTTTTATCATATGTTTATAACTTATATTAGCTCAATGTAATTGGCCCACAGTTATATAGCCAGTTAATTATGTACTGAACAATATTACCTTAATATAAATGTTTCTTTTCTGTGATCTTTAAATGCATTCTGAATACATTTTTAGAGATATGGTTTCCCATGATAGTATACGAAATAGCAGAAAACAAATTAAAACCTATTTCTATTCCTCCGTTTGAAATTGTGGGCATTATTAAGCAATACGCTTTTTCTCTTAATATTAATGTTTCTTTTCTGTGATCTTTAAAAGGATCCTGAATACATTTTTAGAGGTGTGGTTTCTCATGACAGTATACGAAATAGCAGACAAAAATTAAAACCTATGCCTATTCTATCGTTGAAAATTGCGGGCATTATTTAACAAAATTGAATAGATATAATTTACCCGCAGCTTTTGGGTAAATGGTTCGATAAAGTGGACTTATATTTCTATACAAAATGAGATTATTGTATTTGTAAATAATAACATGATTTATAGCGGAGAAATGTAATATAAGAATTAAAGTATAACCCCACATAAATTTAATTGCATATAATATATGTAGATGCGGTCTTACCCGAATAACAGTTTTGTTTTTGGGGGAATTGTTAGTATCAGCTACCATTCCAATTCTAAATGAATGTTATCATTGTAGCTTATGACATACATATATTGAAAAATTTATCTTTGAAATATTTGTCAATATTTGAATCTCAATAGTGGTAGTAGTCACAGATTCCGCAACAAGTTTTGATATTTTTAACCAATGTGCAGTGTCAGCAATGATAGCAGCAGCTGGCATGACAACCGACATATCCATAAAAAAACGACGTTAAATATTTGCATTAATTTTGATAAGTCACAGGAAGCATATAGCAGGGGAAGAATGGAGAAGGTGGAGTGGTGGAATATGGAGGCACATCTTGCTTTAGCATTCTCTTCGGTATGGTATACTACTTGTATATAACATTCATGTTACTTACCCGGCAAGCAAGCGATGCTGATAAAGAGCAGTAGTAGTTGTAGATAGCGAGGCGTTTGCTGTCGCTTCCAGTTTGTGTGACTGCCATTGCTCAAGTTGAAGCTGAAGTTAAAGCTCAAGCTATAGCTAGAGTTCCAGCTTTTCTTCATGCTGCTCCTCCTGCTGGAGCTCCCACTTTTGCTTCTCGTGCCGCTCATTTTGTGTGTTATCGCGAGTCGTTAGCCGATGCTTGGGCTGCTTGTTCTTATCGCGCGACGCGTTACTTTGTCAACGATGACGGTGACTGTCGGCGGGGACAGTCGTTCGGTTCTGCTACTGGTACTGGTACTCGTACTGGTTCTGTCGAGTCGTTGGCTCGGTCTGGCGGGCACGTTAAGTGGACGTTAAGTGCCACACACTTGACTTTTATTGCACGGCGTACAGAGCACCGAGCACGAAGCAGGGCGTAGGATGTCGGTTTGTTGCGTTACGTTAACTGCGACGCTTACTACTCTGCTTACTATTTACTATTTACTGTTACAACGAGTATACGAAATTGCGAATTCGGACTTGTTATACGAGTATATCTCACAGTTTTGGGTGTGAGCGTAATTTCTTTTTCTCTGGACACATATGTTCATGGGCTTGTTATTGTTATAGTGGTAGTTGTTAATTTAGTTGTTGTGTGGCAAACAATAAAAAAGAAAATTGTACAAATGCTAAAATGTCATGACATTTTTTTTTTGGGTTCTGTTATGGTTGTAGCTTGTCAAATTTATTTATTTGTGTTTACAATTACTTGTCGTGTTTGCTTTGATGCTTTTTGCACAGTTTTTGAAATCAAATTCCGTGTTGAAATCAAAGTTTGTGCCATAAATACGAAAATATGTATATATTGTGTTGCATGCTTTCGGGCGCATGCTATAATTCTTACTTGTCCCTTTATTTATTTTTGTATGGTGTGGCGTTTTTAATCAGAAATTTACACAGTACGGTGGAAAAAAAAAACGAACACAATGAAACTTTTCAATCAGAACCTATTTTATTTCTTTCTTTTCACTCTCTCTCTGCTGCGATTTTTTTTGGATCGCTTTTTTAGCGCTCGTTAACAGCAGCGTTTTTTGTTCAATTTTTAATACAATTTCCACGCTCAACTGCGCTTTTTTGTTGTCGCTGCGCTTGTTTCTGTTTCTGTTACTGTAGCTGTTTTGTATTGCATTTATTTACACGAGCACACACACACACATACAAACAACCAGTCGAATGAAATTTGATTTGCTTTTTTTCTTGAGGTTTTTTCAATTCAAATTACTGTTGTCGTTATTGTTGTTGTCATGTTCATTTCTTCAAATCAGTTTGCATTTTTATTTATATTTTTGCTGTTATCATCCAGTAGTTTGTCCTTTAGCATCGTCCTGCTGGTTTGTTCGGAGTCCAGCTTGTTCTAGAGTCGGCGCTGCCGCAGTGGCTGCTGCTTCTTTGGCTTTGGCTTTGGCCTCGCCATTGGCATTTTCACATTATTAAAATGTAATCCTGGGGCGAAATTCTGCAAGGTAGAGCAAAGGGTGCACACATGAGTGAGTTGCTTGCTTATGGCATTAAAATCATATGTAAGTGTGTATAAATATGTATGTGTATGTGTACAGCATATACTCGTACTATATGCATGTAAATTGGTTGCGGAATGAAGGTTTTTTTTCGCCCTTCTTGCTTGTGGGCTTAATTCTTTTTGCGCTGGCGAAATTATCGAGCGTGAAATATGAAGACAAATTATGCACACACACACACACCCCACATGCATACATACAAACTTATTTCATACTCGTATGCAGCAGGATCAACAGAGCATGTTGTTTCTTTCACTTCATTTTGAAATTGTGTTTGCAAACGGATTTTATTACGAGGCTGTACTTGCTTCTTGCCAACTAAATGACTTTTTAAATCACTTGTTATTCTTTGAGACTGAAACATACTTAAGCTTAATGATAAAATTTTTTTTTTATTTTTATTGTTTGGCCGGCTCGAGGTCAGAGTAAGAAAAACCAATTTATTTAATTTTCTTTTCTTTTTCCGATATATTTCGGTTACGCCACGGTAACCGTCTTCAGGGCAACTACAAAACATATAACATAATTAACATATTAAAACTATAACACAAGAATTTTTATATAATTACTTATTTAAGCAAGTCTGCTCTGTTTGACTTGGAGTTACTAACTAACAGGTGTCTGTAAATATGCGCGCAATTTTCGGTGTCTGCTTTGTAGTTAATTCTGTATTTGTTAGGTGTGTTGATAATGTGTAGCGTTTCGAGAGTGAATCGCTTACTGTAGTGTCGTTCTTGTTGAAGTACTTTCGTTTCTTCAAAGTTGGGGGTGTGTCCAGTCTCTATGCAGTGGGTTGTTAGAGCAGTTTTTTGTGTCAATGTTTGATGCCTTAGTTTGTAGTCTGACTTGTGTTGTGATATCCGTGTTTTTAGTTTCGACTTAGTGGTTCCAATGTAAAATCTCCTACATGGGTTGTCGCTGTCTCCGTCACATGGAATTTTATAGACTACGTTATTCAGGTCCATTTCTGCAATTTTTGCCTTAGTCCTATTAAAAATGTTCCTAAGTGTATTCTCCGGTCTGTGCGCAATTTGTATATCCTCTTTTTGATAGCAGTCTGACTGGGTGAAGCGTTCTGAGAACCCAGATACGTATGTCAGAGATTTGTAGATTTTTGGTGCTCTTGGTTCTTTTTTCTTTGGGTTCTTATGGTTCTTGATTAGGGAATACGTCAATTTGATAGGGAAGTCGTTTTGTGTCAGTATCCGTTTAATTTCTTCCTCTATTTGTTTATGGTAAAATTTGTCACTTGTCTCGAACATCCGTCTTATACAGTTCTTGGCTGTATTTATTATCATATTTTTCGGATGTTTCGAGTGATAGTTAATCAGCCTACCCGATGCCGTCGGTTTCTGGTACCATTTTGTTTTTAGCGTATTCCCACATCTATTTATAGTCAAATCCAAATAATTAAGTTTCTCGTCATTTTCTGTCTCTAATGTAAATTGGATGTCTTTGTGGTATATGTTGAGGGCGTCTAATGTCTTTTGCACCTGTTCCTTGTCAATAATTGCGAACAAGTCGTCAACATATTTGGTCAGGAGTCTTGGTCTATGGATCAATTTCGATGTTGTGTTTTCCAGAAGCTCCTCCATGACTATGTCCGCTATTACAGGGGACGCCGGGGATCCCATCGGTAGTCCCTTAAGTTGTATATACATTCTGTCCGTATACTTAAAATACCTTGTTTCACGGATGCAGAAATGTACGATGTCCATAAACATTCTCTTTGGGATTTTAGTGAAGCTTTCTATCCTGGTCCAGTTTTTACTGATGACATCCATCGCTAAGTCGATTGGGATGCTCGGGAACAGAGACACCACGTCGAACGAAACTAAAATCTCATCGTCTACTATATAAGTGTTGTTGACCTTGTCTTTAAACTCTGAGGAATTTTTAACGTTATATGGTGAGGTATTGGTCAGGTTCTTTAATATCCCAGCGATGTATCTACTAAGTTCGTGACAAGGGGAACCGACTGACGAACAAATCGGTCTCAGGGGTGTTCCTTTTTTGTGTATTTTCGGTAGTCCATAGATCCTGGGTGGTAGTGCAGTGCTTGTAACTAATTTATTCCTTTCAGTCTTTGTGATTATGTTCAATTGGAGTAGTTTGTCAACGAAGTTGTTGTTTTTATTCTGTAGCCTAAGCGTGGGGTCTTGTCTGAGTGTTCTGTATGTGTTTGCGTCTCCTAGTATATCCGTCATTTTGATATTATATTCCTCCTTGTCCATGGTTACCGTCTTATTTCCTTTGTCCGAAGTTAATATTAAAATGTTGTCATTAGTTTTCAGAAATTTTTTGGTTTGTTCCACTGTGTCTAATATTGCGCGATCTCTTGTGTTAGTTCGGTTGTTTGTCATCATGTTCTTTATTAGTAAAGAGAGTTTTATGCGAGCTGTTTCTTGGTTCTCTTTGTTTTTTATTGTTTGTACCAACTCCTCTCCGTCCGCTATGCATTTAAAGAGCGGAAAGCTTTTTCGGTCAGTTGGTAAAGCGTACTTTGGACCCATAGCAAGTAATGCTGTGATGTTTGGTGGGAATGTTGTGTGTGATTGGGGTGCAAACCACTCTGCCTGTTTTTTGTTGTTGTCTGTGTGCCGTTCGTTACGATCGTTTCTTAGGTTCTCCAGTTTTCGTAGTTGTCGTTCTTTGAGAGTTGTTGTCAGTTTGTTCATTATGCTCTCTTCACTCTCAAAAAATGCTTTTGTATCGTCCGCTCTCATTATTTCCTCTATGGTTGTTTTTGTTTTTTGTAATTGTTTCCTCTTCTCGTCAATAATATTATGTTTATGTGCGATCAATATACTAAGAATTTTCATGTGAAATATATGGCTATGCTTTTCTAATCTTTGGCTTATGTTTGTGGGAATGAGTGAGTTTGAATTATTTTTAAATATATTGGTGCAGTTTGTGGTATTGTTTATGAAGTTGGGGACAAGTTTGTACTTTCGGCATTGTAATAAAAATTTTATACTAGACTGTAACTTAACTAATTTTTTGGATATTTGCTGATATTTGTTAATTACGTGTTTGGAGTTTTTGTAGTTGTTCTTTATTTTTGCATATTCCATTTTACTGGTTGCTGCATACGGCGTGCCTTCCGTTTGAGCCGGCCAAACAATAAAAATAACTATGAGGAAGGTCACCAAAATACTCAACAATTAATGATAAAATATTAAATTTTTATAAATAAAGTTAGATGATTGTGTTCTTTGGATAATCTTTTTATTTTGTATATACAAGTATGTACTGTTAAAACCCTTAACATCCTTTTCTAGGCTTACTTAGAATGGCTATGGAAATGCTGGATTTAAGATAGTATATTTTTAAACTTCAAGAACATTTGCTTATCCGACTTATTTAATCATTTTTCAGTGCTAATTGAAATCATTTTTCATCATTTTAACAAATAAATAGCATTTACTCTAGGTGTAAATTTCAAAAATAAATTAGTTAAGTAAAGCATCGCAATTCTAGAATGTATACTAAATGACATGAATCAATATACAATCA